AGGTGACGTCTGTAAGAACACGGTGGGAGACATTACCTCAAAGCTCCATTTCACTCTGCTGTGCATCGTTTCGGAAGTTACATAACACAGAATTAGCATTTCAATGGAAGCTATTTGAACAATGGAGTTGGATTTGAAATATCTATTGAAAACTGGAGCTCGTGATTTCTGGTGTGATTCAAGATAAAGGCAGATGTGACTTTAAGGATAGCTGAGGAGACAATATGTCATGCACACTGCAAGTTTCCTTCAGATTTAGCACAAGGAGACTGTCTAGAATGACTAAAAAAAGAGGCAAAGTGTTGGTTTCACATGACAAACTTTACCTGTCCTTAAATATAATTAATTAAATCAGTTCAAATAAAAAGGCACAGGAAAGATTAGTATGTCTATTTCTCTTCATTCAAATGATTTGCAATTAGTTTCCAGGCATTAAACGGTCAAAGTTTCATTTCTAATGGACAAAACTGAGCCGAATCGGTCAGTGGGTCACAGAAAGAGATTATATTTAATAAAAAAATAAAAATAAATAATTGGTCAAATCTGTGAAATATTAACATTTTATTATATTTTATATAATTATTATAGCTTATATATTTTCAAAATACATTCATATATTTTGTGAATGATAAAATGCATTTATAATTTCTTAGAATGCAAAATGTAGAATAACATACAAAATAAACACACTTAGTAAAATAATGAAAGTACAAACAAAATGCGTAGGATCAGAAGATTGTGAGTGTAATTTGGTCTTATTAGTCAGAAATAAACCATAAATGTGACCCTGGAGCACAAAACCAGTCTTAAGTCGCTGGGGTATATTTGTAGCAATAGCCAACACTACATTGTATTGGTCAAAATTATTGATTTTTCTTTTATGCCAAAAATCATTAGGATATTAAGTAAAGATCATGTTCCATGAAGATATTTTGTACATTTCCTACTGTAAATATATTAAAACTTCATTTTTGATTAGTAATATGCATTGCTAAGAACTTCATTTGGACAAATTTAAAGGCAATTTTCTCAATATTTGGATTTTTTTGCACCCTCAGATTCCAGATTTTCAAATAGTGGTATCTCGGCCAAATATTGTCCTATCCTAACAAACCATACATCAATGGAAAGCTTATTTATTCAGCTTTCAGATGAGGTATACATCTCAATTTCAAAAAATTGAACCGTATGACTGGTTTTGTGGTCCAGGGTCACATGTGGCCGAGGGAAGTAGCCTATATGAACTTTCGAACACTGTCATTGAGTCAGGACAATGTACTTGCATGACAAACAGCCTGTGTCTTAAACCTCTTGTTCTGGACTTTAATGAAAGCTTTATTGTGTTTTGTCAGACAGTAATTCTGAGCAAATACCCAAAGTGTGTCTGCCTCCTGTCAGCATCGACATAACAGTCTTTACCGATGTGGTTGAAACTTCTGTGCTGTTTTAAATCAGGTTTCAAAGGATAAAGGTCAAAGTTGCATTTTTAAAGGAAATAAATGAGCTCAGTGAGACAGTAAAAAAAAAAGTAGCAAAAAATAAAATAAAATTATATATATATATATATATATATATATTATGAAACTACCTCAAGCCATATACTGTACACACTCTTATTTTCTTCATTGAAAATAAGTGTGCCTAATTTTGTCTAAAGAATTGAGTTTAAATGTAGTCTCAAGGGTAATTATCTCCACTCCACACATTGAACCCTGATAGAAGACATGAATTATATTAGCAAAAACCATTGACGTGCAAATTACACTTGATTCATCGGTTATTTACTACCTTAGTAATAAAAGAGCATAACATTAGCAATTTCAAAACATTATAGTGTCACACTGTAATTATGGGTTATTTGGAAAGGTAGGGCATAATAGCTGACACACTCTCTAACACGTTTATCTTAGCCTGTGATGTGCTCAACATACGCTGCATGGGACAATGCTGCGAACCTCATAAACTTCTGTGTGGCTGCAATGCCATGGTGATTTATGTCGTACTATTGTTCCTACCATGCTTTCAAGATGTCCCATTTTTTACAGCTTTGTTTTTTTTTAATGTCACTCACTGATAAAATCATGTTTTTTTCCTTTCACAGACAGTAAGTGGCTGTTTCTTTTGGCTCTGTGGACTATGAGAAATTAAACGACCCTAAAACACACTCTCGGTAGTTTATTTAATTTGTCTGCTGACAGTGTCCAACACACATAAATGCAAAACAAAAAGCTTTTTTTTTTTTGTCTCAATGGAAAAAGCATTAATTTCCATAACGCATTAAATTACTATTCATTCTCTGATGGAAATGACTTTTTTTTTTCTAGAATAAAATGCTCTTCACCAGCACTTAATTTTTTTGTGGGGGGGAAAAAAAAGTGGCAAAATTAATACAAATGGGTCAAAGACGAAAAAGGTTTTAAGCATAAAAACAATACGTGTAATACTGCTTTAAATTGTTGTTGTTTTCCCCCCCAAAAAATCTTTTTAATTGCAATTTTGTTTTTGTTTTTCTGAGCAAAAAATAAATATCATACATTTTTCCCTGATTTACAGAAGAGACCCACTAAAATGTCATTCAGTGTAACAATCTTGTCAGGCATATTTACAACAAAAATCAATTTATGACATATTAAAAGACTAATTACTTTCACCCCAA